TGGCCTGGGCGTTGATGAGTCAGTCAGTCAGTCAGTCAGTCAGTCAGTCAGTCAGTCAGGACATCTTCCTTTATAGATATAGATAAAGTTAAAATCACTATATATATATATATATATATATATATATATATTAAATGTTAAACGTTTAATGAATAACATTATAGCATACGTAACGAGGTAAGCTTCAAACATAAAACCAAGTTAATCCGCGTGGCTTTGAGGATTGACATGTTTTTATAATCTACAATAATAAAGGCATACATATATGTATGTATGTATGTATACATGCCTTTATTATTACATATGTGTGTCGTATTAACTCTCAAAGTGACGCGGATTAACTCGGTTTTATGTTTGTAGCTCATCTCGTTGCATGCGCTATAATGTTATTCATTAAACGTAACAGCGTTTAACATTTTTAATGGCCGCAACCGGCGACCTATTACATGAATATGGAAACCAGAAGTGAGCCGGCTCGCTGATGAAAATTGGCTCCGGTTTATACCGGGCCGTAAATTAAATAAATATCGAGTAAATAAACATGAATTACATTATCGCTCTCGGTGAATAGGATGCCGTAACTGTGCCAGTCTCTCTCCCATCAAAATCGACCGAAATTACAGCTCGTGCATCATCAAGCACGAAATTACAATCCGCGAATTAAAAGGTATAAAGAATTTTTTATTCATTTATATATATATATATATATATATATATATATATATATATATATGTGTTGTAGGTCCGGAAGTATGTTCCGGGACTTTTATTTTTGATATCGGTATATTCCGGGACATTTGGCAGTTTCCAGGACTGTCCTGGAAAAAATTCATGTCCTACGGCAATTTTCGGGACAGTTTTTTGAATCTGATTACATATATATGCGTTATGTTCCAGGACTGTACATTTCAAAAAACGTAAACAGTCCCGGAACATACCTCTGGACCTACATATATATATATATATATATATATATATATATATATATATATATATATATCGGATAATATAAAAATTCATACGCGTGCGGTACGAGCGCGTGAACGCAATGCATTTAAACAATGCTTTTGCAATGCAAAAAAATATTTAATTAAACAGAAGTAGAGTAATAACGTTCATTCATCGCGCATTTCTTGAACGTAAAGCGAGAGGCGCTAACAAATAACAGTCGATTACATCTGCTAAAGGGTCAAATAACAAGCACAATAATAAATTGCGCGATCCGTATACGCAAACGTTATATTTCGATAATATAGAAATTAATACTAAATACGAGTCGCGCGCGCTGCGCTGCTGCGGCAATAGCGTTCTTGCTCGCGGTATATTTCGCGAAATTTATCGCTCACGGTGATTAATTAATTATTCGAAGAAGGTAATTACCGCGTGACCCGGGCACACACGCTTTTTCCACCGTGTCCACCAGGTACCATCAGTTACACACGTGAAACCAAAGTCAGCGCCTGTGTTTCCCAGTTTGCTCGGCTCTTCGGGAAAACAATGGTACGATTGACCGCGTTCGCGTAATTTAATTTTCTCCTTAAACCAGAATTCATCCTGCAAAACGATGACGTATCTTTGCCGGTGTAATTTGCGAATTGTTTTCTTGAACGAACAATTGTATTTAAAAAAAGAAGGAAATTTACAAATTTTTAATTTTTTTATTTTTATTTCCGGCCAATCGAGTAGATCACACATGTAAAAATCACTTAAAACCTACTATACGTTTTAGAATTTTGTCCCGAAAATATTTAGGAACGATCGCCATATGTAAGATAAATTTTGCTTTCGATTAAGAGCTTATTAATGAGCGGTTTAATCTGAAAACTTTATGCCGCGGCCGCCGCGTTTGTTTTCCGTATCTAACGTTTATCTTTCACGGTCTCCTGCACACCGCGACCGGTGATTCCGGTGTGATTAAAGCCCGGTAGTAATGACAGGACCCGCTTTCCCGGCCGGCATTTACCGGTTAAATTCCTCTTGTTTACCGAGCGACATGAATATGAAAGGGCTCTTCCGGGATAATTATACGTAATTTCCGCGCTGTTCTCATTAAAATCGCTGCGGTAGGTCTTACTCTCACTTTTTATATCGATCCACCGAAGATGGATAACGAGCGTATTCCCAAAAAAGAGCCGCATGACATTATCATATCGTTAGTTAATATCGTTGGATAGTAGCAAGACATTTAATGTTAAAAGTTAAGTCACAAATATGTAGATGTCCTAATAATACTATTGACGAAATTTTAAAGAAATTCATAGAAAATAGATAATAATTTTTTTAAAGAGATAGTAACTTTGTTTAATCAATGCATCGTAGCAGTTTCTATAATTGAATGAATAAAGATTGTTTCCTGAATTCTGCATGTTGCAGCATTTGGCATAATGATTCGGTTGACACAGACACCTAACCGTGAGACGTATATATTACAATAAATTGATATACATATTCGGCGCGGCGCGGCACGGGGGATTCAGAGCTGTTTTGATTAATTGCGCATTTCGCAATGAATTTAGACGCGCCGGAGACGAGATTAGTCGGCGTCCCAACTGGCCAGCTCGAGGAGGGCCGCGATCAGCTGGAAATCCGATGTCTCGCTGACGCTAATCCGCCAGCTTCGATCCTCTGGAGGAAAACCAAGAGTCCCGGGGTGACGGAAGTGGCTAGTATCGGAGAGACCCTCATGTTCTCTCCAATTTACAGAAATCATGCCGCCGTTTACCTCTGCGAGGCGTCAAACATCGAGGGCGAGAGCAGTCCGGTCTCGGTACAGGTGTCCGTAAATTGTACGTGTATCGCTGTCACTTTGCCACTCAAATCTGTCATTTTCATTCCCGATTTGCATTCGATCTGAGTCCAAAATTCTTGCGGCCTCTAGCCATAACTTCTACAACATGAAAACTTTTATTAAATGATCCGTAATATATTTATAACGATTTTTTGTAATATGTGTCAATATTATACACGTAATAATTTTTCAAAATATGTAGAGTGAAAATCAGTATAGAAACAACTTTTTACTCGTAGCTTAGTTTCAATCTCGAAGTAAGCTGATCTTTCGTAGATCCACCGACGATCAGCGCAGTCGGACCGGACCGACTAACAACTGCATTGTTGTATTCCGGTGCATCGTTCGAATGCCACGCTGATGCGATGCCGCCGGCCGAGTACAGGTGATCCACGTCACTCTTTACTTCTTCTAAGATTTCCTTATTAGGCATTTATACAATACGTCCAATATTAATAATTGATTTTTTCTAACTTTGTGATTTTCATAAAATTTTGTTCTTTATTTTCATTAATTTATATAATTAGTGTTACGAATTGGCACTATGTGTGTTCCCATTTATGTTATAGACTTCACTTGAAAAGAACTCAAACCAAGAGTCGTGATTATTATTTATATTGTTGCCAGTTATAAGTCGAGTTATAATAAAGGAATATTTTTTATTTTAATTAAATTTAACATTATAAATATATTAATTTAACTTATTTAACATAAAGTTTGCTTGTCCATGTAGCGTACAATTTTGAGTTAATTTTTCACACATAACTTGTGTTATTTATTTACATATTTGCCTTTTGTTAAATTAATATAAAAATTAGAGTAGATAAATTGGTTAAATTCAACACAAAATTGTTTACTGATTGCGATAAAGCAAAAACTCTCAATTTATTTCTTTTACTTTTATATCTTTTCATTAGCGTGTACTTCTGCCGTGGCGTTTGGAAGTGTCTTTAATTTGCAAATTTCCGATGTGCGATCACGCGTGTGCAGATGGGCACAGATATTCACGGACGGCCGCATGCCGATGGAATGCGGAACCGGGCAGCGATTGATCCTGACGAACGTGACGTACGAGCAACAGGGTCAATACATATGTCTCGCCTCCAACAAGATCAATGGCAACATCAGGGAAGTTAAAAGCGACCCTGTGTCCCTGCAAGTGGTCGGCGCTCCACGGGTAAGACGACGCATCGTCACGGCGCGGGCGCGGCCGCGCGGGTGCGACGGAACGTTGAAAAAGTTTCGCTGCAAATCAGAATTACCGACGAGGGGGTCTCGACATTGACGAATAGCGCTTCCGGCGGACCTGTCGCGAAAAAATATCGCTTCATTACTTTACCGGGATTCTGGGATCATTGAATATCTTTCGCGCGAGCGCGCGCGTGCGCGCGTTAACAGAATATCTCCGCGCGAATACTTCTCGTCTGAAGTCCGTCGTTCAGCTTCAACTGTCCGGATGTAATATCGGTGGAAAAAAAATGAGCAGAATGTAGCTTGTAACGAAGAAGAAACGTTGCTTCCGCGTACATCAATCTCGTTCTGCTTCATTATCTCGTAAAGAAACGCGATATACCGTGAATGGACTGAGATCGTGGGTAAATTTGCGCTAAAAAAAAGGAAGAGATTGTAGAATGATTTAATATTTAATAAAACGAACAACTTGACATGCAAATGAGAACTTATAATCTTCCGCGTTACTGCATGTAAATCATTTTCCATCATTAAAAGTTATCCCTTATGTGCAATGCAGATATATCTCACAACACGTATTATTTATTTGCCCCAAAGCGAACAATATATCAACCTCCAGTAATTACAATAACACAATATCTAGAGATTATTTTTATGATACGCGGAAATAATTTTTTTATATAGATATAATATTTTATATAAAATATGTCCATACTATTTGTATATAAAAAATAAATAAATAAAAGAATTAAACATAATAATTAAAAGGATAATTTTTGCATTGTAACATATTTTTTTATAAAAAATTATGTTTGAGGAAATGAGGAAAATTGTTTATATATAATCATATATAAATGTAATAATCGTATTAGAATATTGTATAATTTACTCGTAATTTTATTTTTTGTAAAAAACAATGCAAAAGTTATTTTTTAAATTATTTTTCTTATCTATACAAGCAGAGATTATACAAGAGAAAGAAATATGGGCATATTTTATGTATAATTATATATGAAAAAACTTTTTCCCAGGTATATGTATACAGCGATATGCTTTAGTATGTCCGTGCATTTGACTTCAAATGCATTTTTAAATGGCAATTGGCCAGTTTTTCAATCATCAACAATGCAGTGCGCATTGCGCCATCGAGTTTTATTGTGCAAACGGTATTAAAAATCGATACCTTCGTTATTTGTAACGAACCACGTTGTTTCCTTCAAAAGAGTGCCTCGATATCGCGTAGATGCAGGACATGTTTGTTTTGTTCGCGGATATGTAAAAATAATCGTAGCTGCAATTAATTGAAAAGGTCACTTCAATGCTTTTATATACATATATGTATATAACAATCTATCATAAATATGCGCATAATTGTGGTAGCGAATTTTCAAACAAATTACCACTGTATTTAATTTATTTATTTAAAACCTTCCGATGTTATTCAATACTTTACATGTTATGTATTTGGCATTTTTTTACGCTTGTTATATGCATTTTCAGCAATGCATATTGCAAGTAAACATAACTGCAACCGCGCATACAGATGAATTAGAAATTAAATCATATTCCAGTTACCGTGATATTACAATTTTTGGCGATTCGACTCTGACCGAATTCAATAGCTATATAATTATTCAATTGTTGACGAAAAAACTACCTGATTTTAATATACCGTGGTATTTTTTGTTGAATTTGCTTAGTGACAGAACGCACGCAACTTTTAATGCGGGTCACTGGTTGCACAAAGGTTTGATTTCCGTTTCATTTAATACGAAACCATTTCATCTGTTGAAATTCGACAGCGCTATTAATGTCGATATCTCGTCCAAATTGATTTCGGCGTTGCGCACACGTATAATGGTTATTTTATGTTACATATATACGTTCTCTCGTCTCGGGAATCGAATATCGCGCGAAAGGAGTAACCGGAAAAATTTTATTATGCGATTTATTTCGTAGGCGCGATGCCTGGAAATCAGTCAAAATGTCAATACGCCGCGTCGTAATCAAATCAGCGTTTTAATTATAATTGCGACATGTACGGAAATGTGACAAGCGCCGCTGTTACAAATATATCGCAAAAATGATGAATTACGTTTGCACGTACACACTTGAACGACATATGAGAAACATGGCTTTGAAACGCGATACTGACTGCACAGAAATGAGTACGATAATTATTTCAGCGTATTCATAATGTGAAAAATGTATCCGTATGGTAATGTTTTTATCTCGCGATACACACAGGATGGCATTACAATGAATTAAAATATAATGCTCGTCATAAATCATCGAGTTTCTTTCGCGAAAATGCTATTCACAGCGCGACAGTTTTTGTCCGTGAAATATGTATATGTGATTCGCTTTCAGATTTAGTGCTTAGTCACGTATCATTCGTGCCCAAATTGAATCAATTTTTTTTATTGAAAAATCATATCTATCATAATTCTTGATATTATCTCTTTCACAGATTTCGGTACGTTAACGAAACAGAAAGAATTGCGACAGTCCATCGGCAATGTTTCAATTTCCGCACCGTTGATGAATCGTCGCTTTCAATCGTTTATATTTTTACATATCTAATTGCACGATAATTCTTTTATTATCATATCATGTTCCATTACTTTTGTCACAAAGTTCCCATCAGACAGCACAGTGTCCAAAATCGGACATAAGACGTCTTAATGACGTCTTTAAGACGTCTCATGTCTCGATTTTGGTCATTGTGCTGTCTGGGCTGCTCTTCATATGAGATTTTGTTCGCAAAACGACATTGTGCACCAATTGGTGAAACGTTCCGAACAGAAAGCAGCTCGCGATGCTCACGTTCGCCGCCCGATGACCGCGAAAGGGGTGGAGGGGAAGGGGGTCGCAGGAGCGAACTTTCCATTCAAAGGACGTTAAACATGTGTCGCAGGTGGTGAAGCCGACCATCACGGAGAAGTTTGTCGTCGTGACGACGGAGGGTAGCCCGGCCAGATTAGAGATCAGACTGTGCTCCGACCCGAAGCCGCGGCTCGTGGCCTGGGAATGGGGCAGCACCAGACTGCACGCCGGTTAGAGACTGCTTGCCTCTCAAACACTATCGCAAGAAGTATTCGATTTCATCTTTGCTTTGGCCTTTTGCCTCCTGCGTGCACGTACATGTTCTCTGTTATAAGTTTCGCATCGAGGGCCAAATGACAGAGGTAACCGGATAAGAGCGGATAATAGAATCGAACCTCTTTTTCTCTATTACCTTAAGATATTTATCGTACGGAGAGAAGTGTGTATGTAATTTGGATAAGCGGATCGATTGACTTCCCTTTTATTTCGACATCGTCAGCGACGATTTTCGGTAATTTGAAATATTTTGTAGAAAATATGAAAGAATTTTAAAAGTATATAGTTTACAAGTTAAAATTATCGCTTCTTACAAGATTGTCACGAATCATTATATCGAGTTCACATTAAATAAGAACACAAAAAAAATTATTTAATTTTTATCGAGACATGAAATAAAGGCGTTTATTATTAAAGATTGTTATAAAACGATAGGCGCGTTTGTATCGTTAAAGTAAATGACAAAGAGCGTCATTTAGAAAGGAAAGCGCTAAGAGAATTAATGACTCGGCTCGCGGAAACTTTCTATTAGAGTCTAAGGGAACATTGATCTCTCGGCCGCTCGGTATTACTCTTTGCAATACAATGGCGTTCTAGATCGCTCACCGCCCGAGCTAGCCGCAAATGATAGCCGCATCCGTGCTCTTTATCTTTGTAAACGTGTCAGTAAACACGAGAGACGGGGCAACGTGTGCACGAAAGAGATACCACGTTTCGAGGCACGTTGTTCGCGTGCTAAAATTATTACGGCCACGACGAAGTCGGGCTGACTCGACTTTACTTTATTCCACTTTGACTTTCGCCCCGACTGCCAACTTTTTCCAGCCAAGTCCTCCTCCTCCTTCGTTACGCGTCTGCCTTTTTGTTATGCGTTCCCGTGAAACGAAACGTCCGCGTCCGTCACCTTGCCCAACGAACCATTAATGTACAAACTTTTTTTGGTTCTATTTTTGTTTCGAATATTACAAACGAACGTAACTACAAACGGCCGTAGTTATTAACGCTTTTTTCTCTTCCTTCTTCTTTTTCATTCGGTGAAACTGCAGCCCCGTTAAACTTTTCTTCACCTTCGTTGAATCAGCAGAGAGAGCGCTCGAGCTTTACCGCTCTCCGGGGTTGCTCTTTCGTACACATTTTTTCAATGCTTTCCGACATAATTGGCACTCCACCGACCGGCGTACCTCATCGACAATCCTCCCGCCATGCCACTCGTAATTACCCCCTCGGTTAATTGATTCGCCCGTAACCCGAGCCACGAGAGATCGCTTCGGTCTTGAGACATCCGTTCAATTTCCTGCGAGGCCCAAATCGGTGCGCTCTCTCTCACGCTGTGAATTTTTCGCACCCGTCATTTTCCGAGATGCCAGACGACTAATTAATCCCTTCACACTTACGTTATCTAGAGTTCTGTAAAGTATTTTGGAACTTTTATACGTCTTTTATGTTTATATAATAGGATTACTTTTATATTTATTAATATTCATTTATTGTTTCTTTTTGAAGTGAAACTTCTTTAGGCACGGTAGTGAGTTCAATTCGCGACACGAAAAAGTATAACGGAAGTGAAACTTCTTTGGTATGGTAGTAAGTTCGATTGTACGACACGAAAAGTGTAACGAAAATTTGACCAATAGGCGTACGGCGTTGACGAGACGGTTCTTCTTTTGGCACGGTAGTAAGTTCGATTATGCGACACGAAAAGTGTAACGAAAATTCGACCAATAGGCGTACGAAATTAAACTTCTTTGGTACGGTAGTAAGTTCAATTGTGCGACACGAAAAGTGTAACGAAAATTTGACTAATAGGCGTACGGCGTTGGCGAGACGGTTTTTCTTCTGGCACGGTAGTAAGTTCGATTATGCGACACGAAAAGTGTAACGAAAATTCGACCAATAGGCGTACGAAATTAAACTTCTTTGGTACGGTAGTAAGTTCGATTGTGCGACACGGAAAGTGTAACGAAAATTCGATCAATAGGCGTACGAAATTAAACTTCTTTGGTACGGTATAGTAAGTTCGATTGTGCGACACGGAAGGTGTAACGAAAATTCGACCAATAGGCGTACGAAATGAAACTTCTTTGGTACAGTAGTAAGTTCGATTGAGCGACACGAAAAGTGTAACGAAAATTTGACCAATAGGCGTACGGCGTTGGCGAGACGGTTCTTCTTCTGGCACGGTAGTAAGTTTGATTATGCGACACAAAAAGTGTAACGAAAATTCGACCAATAGGCGTACGAAATGAAACTTCTTTGGTACGGTAGTAAGTTCGATTGTGCGACACGAAAAAACGTCACGAAATAGTGTCACGAAAATTCGACCAACAGGCGTACAAAGTGAAACTTCTTTTGGATCGGTAAGTAAATTCGATTTTGCGACTCGAAAACGCGTCACGAAAATTCGATCAGGCGTACGGCACCGGCGAGACAGATATAGTGAGAACTGCGTGTAATACTATATTTTCGAGTTGCGGGCGGCTTGGAGTGACTAATTCCGTTGCATTGTTTTTGTATTAATTTCAGAAAAGTTATGGCAAAGCCTTGCCTTCAGAAGTTTCACTTCTATCGCGCGTGGCGACCACGCGTTCATTTTTTTTTTAGCTTTTTAATAGCTTCGTCAATTTGATCGTTATAGTTTATATTTATTTTCCATTACTTTCTCGTGGGATGCGCATTGAACGTTCATTATTTTGCGAAATTTTATTTCAGTTATTTCGTATAGAAATGGAAATAAAGACTAAATCCAAATTGCGGAGATATGCATGGAGCCGTTTCTATTATTGACAGGTGAAGTTCTGGAGCCGCGCTACCGCGCGCTCGATCTGGAACCGCTGGCTTCGGAGGATTGCTACACAGCGATCTTAGAGTTGACAAGCACAGTGAAAGAGGATCAAAGGCTGTATCATGTTATCGTGGAGAACGATCGTGGCAGTGACAGACGAGCGCTCATGCTGAAAGTCGATGAGCCCGGCCAGGTAAATATGTTGCGCCGCGCAGCAGCCGTATAATGCTTTACGAATGCGTATTCTTCCCGAGACTTCTAACGTTGTCTAAAACGTAAGCGCTCTTTTCACAGGCAAAACCAGAAAAGATATTCACACGTCAAGAAAATTCTTCGTCGATTTCACAAAGTGAAATGTACGGTCTGACAAAAGGAACTGCGAATTTTATATTTTTATACGTGATCGACGTATGTACACGGGAATAAGTGTTAAACGACTACCGAAATATTCGCGGGAGATGAATTTCGGCGCGCAATGCACACACACACAGAATATTTTTCTTTGTCCCCCAGATCCCGCTCGTTATCGGCGCGGTGGCCGGATTCACGGTGCTCTCGGTACTGATAATGGGATTCGTTTGTTTCCTACGTTCGGATAGATGCTGCGTAGCCAGAAACACGGTGCCGGCGCTGCAGCAAGTGCATTGGTAAGCACGCGATATTACGTTGCGCGCGGGTGATTTATAGGCGGGTAGACGGCGCCGCCGTGGATCACGTGCGATACTCCAATATTGTGTACATTTGACCAGAACCGCGCTGGAGAGAGTATCTGTGAATTTGCATACGCAGACATACGGGATTTTTGTCCCAAAAATAAACTTTTTTTTAAATCTTTTACGTCTCTTACTACATACCAAGTAAATAAATAATGTACGTTATAAGAAAATAAAGGAGCAAAAAAATAATTAATTAGATATTAATTATTTATAAAAAAAATGAATAATAAATAAATCTATTATATAACATTTAACTTAAGAAAAAGGAAGAATATTTATAAGATTGTCTTATTTTTGAAGCAGTTTTTCTTCAAAGGGATATTTTATGTTTGACAAAATTAAAATTTAAATTGTTTTTCTTCAATTTGAATGAGTTATAAGAGAATTCCTTTAATATTATCCCGAAAGACAATGCCTCGCGTATCGCGTAGGATGTATACACATATACACAAAGCATCTAATGAAACGAACCCCGGGATGATATCCCACCGTTTCCATACAGTACAAAGGCTTCCAACGCTATGATAGAGGATCCACGCTTGGCAGTGGATACGATGGATCGTACGAGTCAGCAGTTCGTCCCGGAGAAGCGAGCCAATCACGTTCTGAAGCCCGTCCCGTCGCAGCAATACCAGCAGGAGTGTTATCAGCACGACCCGCAACACCAGCAGCAACATTATCAGAGGCATCATCACCATGGGCAGCCTCACGGACAATATACATTGCAGGTCAGTCCAAATTGGAAATAGAATAGAAAAAAATATTAAAATTGTACTCTCGTACAGCGCGTAGCCGAAACCCGGCGTTATTTTTTCTTTTTTCCTCTTTCTTCCTCCCCTTCTCTCGCTTTTCATTTGATTATTTGTCGCATACCGTTGCTTCTGAATTGCAAAGTTTGCATCATTTTTCAACACGATCCCTTCGATCACGTTTGGAGTCGGTGATTAAGTGTTGGTCGTAGATCATTTTGCACAACAAGTTTCTCAATACTGTATTACTCTTTAATACAATAATATATAAATTATCGTAACATAGTGTTTTGTTTTTTATTGTATGATTACATTAAAAAGCACAGTCACAGTGGAAACAAGAATCTTATTGAATTTTGAACGTTGTGTGTTAAAACTTTTATTGAAAAATGAATTATCTTGTTATCAAAACGTGATTTTGTAGAGACATCGGGTAGCTTTGAGTAAAATAAAAAAATGCAGTTATTTTAAGTTTCTCTAACATTATGCAAAATTCACCGTTTTCATTAACGTAGAGCATATATCGACACTTATCACAGAGACTTCGTATTCTCCTTCGATTTTACTGCACCGTCGGCGTCGGTCAGCACATTATCAGAGCATTAGCCATTTTGCTTTAGACAAAGATTCTTTTTCAATCGCTTGCTTATTTTACTGCACTCGTCCGAAAGTAGCTACCTGACCGAAGCACGTGCGTTTAAATTTAATCGGTGCATTCGTGCAACGCAACACTGCAAGTGCATGCAGCTTGACCTGATTGCGAAACGAATCATCCGGATTAAGCGATTAAACTCGTTGCGTCAATGGTTCGATATTAATGCTTCTCTCTAATATATCGGGCTGTCTTTCCGTGATTATTACATTTATTTATTATTATTTTCTTTAACCGTTCGCTTTCGGGGGCTCGTCAAGTAAAAACGTACATAGAGAAGGAAGATATAAGGTTACGGCTTTTTTTTTAATGTTGACGCGCCCCGCACGTCCGTATGTACTCATTAATTGAATCAATTGAGCGAACAATCTTGGCGCAGGAAAAATTCCTTCTACAGGACGAGGAACGGGACACGCTAAATCGGATTAAAAAAGGCAAGGAACGAGGAGCGCAAACTTTCCACCTTTTCTCCCGGAAAGATCTCGAGGGTTTTATATATAAATAAAATATTGTATTTGTTCCCGACACACACACACATACGACCAACGTGGAAAATGTATAAATATAGACACACGTTACGTTTTAATGTACCCGACACAATCTACTGGGTCGTCCAAAAATTTGTTGATATCTCACACACCAAGACGGTCCCCAACCTTTTTCCTCAAGAGAGCCACATTCAAATCTTCGTAATGACCGGCGAGCCGGATAAGCTTTATTTTTGCAAATCATATAAAAACAAAGTATCTGTATTTTAAAATTTTATATTACAAAAGTCCGACGCAGCGACGACTGAGCCGCATAATATATTGTTATATATATAATAGATATTATTATTATTATTATATATATATAAAACGTCAATTTCTTAGCGGACCGGGGTCGCAGGTTAGGTTGGGGACCCCTTACACCGATGAAAGTAATTAACGCGTACGCCATCCTCGCTCACGTCTTTTTTCGCGTGCTAAAGTTTATTATGATGTTACGATCGTTGTATAGTATAACTATGCGATTATACAGGAGACGACACACTATCCATTAGCGACTACTCGCGCAAGAAGTTTTTAGACGATCCAACGTTAAATTACAATACTTATGCGGTGACACGGCGTGCGGCGCGGCGCGCGCAAGCATCGAACGTATCACGTTCTCCGATCGCGATAGTCGCTTGAGTGATTTATGCGCTCGGTAGGGTGCATTACGCATGCATTTGGTTGCATCTAGTGTCTCGGGTGTCCCTCCACCAATTACCGCTGTGTCCTTGTTTGTAATTTAATTTAGATAGATGTGTACATAAGTAGAACGTGTCGACGATAATGCCAACCCCCCCCCCCCCGGCCTTCTTTCTTGCCGGTCGATTGAACGCGCGCGAGATTCTCAGTCTGTGAGTCGCATCTCATCCTTGTAAAAAGTAACCGGATTAAGCTTGAATTGAGTGGAATTCATTACGGCTGAAATTGAAACGCTTAATCGTAAACTGAATTCCTATCAATTCTCTCTCCCCGCCGAGAGAGTCTCACTCAGCTCTTTCGCTTCTCGCCGGGATAGCTCATCTCGATCGTTTCTGTTCTGATTTCGCTTGCATCCAGAAAGGAGTGTATTCCCTGCAGCCGCGCGTCCTGCGGGATTCAAGAACGTAAGACTGAAATCGACCGAGATCGCCGAATTTTACGCTCGCACAAGTAGCAGCTCTCTTAATGACAGACGGCCGATCGCGCACATCGAGATCATCCAATCGTTTTTCGAAAACTTACACGGATTATAAGAGGAGAATAGCTGTAATTAATTGTTACGCGAAAAACTCGTTACTGCCATACATTACCCCATACTGCCACGTTTAAAAATTGTAGGCGCGATTAGCAGATATCGATATTGCAGACGTAATTCTTTTTTTTTCTTCTTCTTTCGTTCGACCGTTGATGTATACTCTGATAATTGCGAATAGAGATGTGCGAACTATTCGAAAATTTCGAATCTAGATGGATCGAATACTAATAATATACATTGTCAATTTTATAAAATCATATTTCCCGTTAATAAGCAAAAGTACGATCATGTTAATAGGTGCATTCAGTATTATAACCGCTTACTGAACAGCTGTAGCGTTCAAAAAAGTTTATTTCTAATTTTTGACGTGCCCTGTGACCTTATTATAAATTGTAAATAAAAGTTTAAATATGCGTAAAAAAATAGTAAGCTGAGTATAGATAATAAAATAATTAACTATATTATTTTATTTTAATTTCTACATTAAGAAAAAATGTTCTGCATTTTAGTAAATATTAACTTGCATACAACTGTGACTCCATTTACTAAAATGAAGAAAATTTTCCTTTTTATCGGTATATGTGTATTCACTGAAAAAAAATATATATACCAATAAAAAGGAAAATTTTCTTCATTCTAGTAAATGGAGTCACAGTATGCAAACTAATATTTACTAAAATGCAGAATTTTTTTTTCAGTATGTATATAATTAGATAATGTTATTGGATTTTACATAAGAGTATTATAATAATTTATCTTTGATTTGTCACCGATTTGTTTCAGTTACTGCGATTAAATAAAATACATTTCATTAGTTTTGTATTAAATATTTAAATATGTTTTTTGCTTTCAAAAGAATTTATATTATATAATTAATATTATTTTTCCACATTAAAATATTCTCTTATTTCCTACATGTTAAAATTCAATCTAATAATAATTATATTGTTAATTGAAAATTACATTTCAACGATTCAATTCAAAAGTACTCGATTCGCTTCGATTTAAATAAAATTTTGTCGATTTAATTCGATTCGATTCGATTCAACATAAAAAATCCTCGATTTGCACATCTCTAATTGCGAACGAACCGTCGAAGACCACCGTTTGAAGAGTGTTTGTATCATAGGTACTAATTAGTAATCGAAACTATGCTCATTACGATTTAACGACGATATGTTGCTATCTATCGAACACATTAAGTGCATATGTACATACGCATATACATACGTATACCTGTTTAGATTACGATCTAACGTACGAATCGTCGTCCAATTAATGAAAGTTTGACGTTAACAGCGATATGTAATCGTCCACGTACCCAGAAAAAAAAATTAGTTTTTAATCAAGACAAATATATTCAAACAACACAATCATTGTTTCATATATAAGCAAGAATATATAATTTTCTTAAAGAATTTTATATTCTTGTACTTCAAGAATATTATAATTTAATTTGAATATTAATTGTCACGTAAAAAGTACAATTATTATTTTGATGACAATAATGTCCTCTTCTTCCGATTTCTTCTTCTTCATTGTAACATAATAAAATTGAATCAACATTGCTAAGGAAGGTTAAACGGCCAAAATTCGAGCAAAGAAATTTGAGATGTTAGTTTAAAATTAAAATTTAATAAACATATGTATACATATATGACATTTACGTTTCGACCTACGTGATCTTCTTCAAAACGTTCTAATTGATAAAATTACATTAATAAATTACGCAAAATAGATATAAAAGATTGAGAGAAACAATGGCTGATGGTCAAATTAAAAAAAATCGCATTACAATAAAATAGTTATAACAATTTTCGAAATTTTAAACTAACTTAAGGGGATCCTAAAGCCGTCTGTAATACCGGCTTTTTTTCTTAGCACTAATCTTTTAATTGACTTTATAGAAATGCAAAATTCTTGTCTAGAATTAAAGTACGCATCAAAATCTAGGGCATGGTGGTCAAATTTATATCGAAAACGAAAAAAAATTAATATTTTTGTTAATTTTTGGTATACGTGACGACAATATTTGCTTTGTACAAAAATTCCACGATAAATATCCACAAAATTAGACCGGCATGACCTAGGGACAACATTTAAGAACAATATCGTGCAATTAGATCTAAGATTGAAAACCTAGAAAAAAAGATTACTTTATATAACTTTTATATGTGCAAAAGCACATTCAGGTTGATAGGATAAGCAATATTGCGTGTGGCAAGAGATGGCGCAGTAATCAAACAAAGACAGATGCCTCTCGTTAGACAAGGACAGATATAGATATATGACAAGAAAACAGAATTAGAAATGTTGACATTACCGACGTCGAGGAAGTTCAGCCTTCACTTTAGGATCCCCTTAACCTTCCTTAGCTTTGCTATTATCGAGCGTATGTATCTTGTTTTTATTGAATCAACATTATTTGTTGATGTCACATAGAGAATATTGAATTTTAAAATAAGATTAAACTGTTTTTATTGTTATAATATAAATATCCTTTATTTGAAAGTTATTCTCTATCTAATATTTTTTGCTTTTCATTAATAAAAATTATATCTAAATAATAATAAGAATATATTTTTCTTTATTAAATTATATATGTATAATATTTTGATACAAGTAATTTATCTTTGTTTAACACTGTACAATCTCATTTTAAGATTTACATGTTAAAAATAAAGATATTCTCTAATTAAGAATGTTATTTTTTCTGTGTACGTTTGCGACGCTACGACAATGCGTTTCTATACGTCGCTGTTGCAAAAGGGTAGTTCAAACAACTGGGCAGCCGACAGTGATTCGATTCACACAGTTGTATAGTAGCCGTATACGAATAGTTTATCGGTTCAACGGAGACTCTCAGAAAGAAAAAAAAATAGGAGAGCCAAAAGCTGTACAGATCGTTTCAGGACGTGTCGACCAATGAGCGAGCATGTCGGAATTGCATTTGTATGTATACCCTGCACTTCACGAGATTATGTACAGAGAAACTTCCCCCACCGATTATATTTTTATCCAAACTCAAATATGACGCACCATTATATATTGTTTGCCGTTACCTCGATCGTCCTACTAAGATTAAATATATATTATACCTCTCGTTATCATCGTCATTAATTAAGTCTGAGGCGAACATCATTGACTTTGTAATCGGATTAACGATGTGGGACTTCATTGTATGGCATACGAGAATAGTTTCGAGAAGTTGTGCCGAGTTCCCTTTCGTGTATAAAGTTGTCATCATTAAAAAGTGATCATACATATGGGTACCATTTGTCATCACACCCATACATATCCCGATCCTATAATAACTGCGAGATACGACCGAAATTCTTTTCAATATTCTGATCTTATTTTTGTAATGGAAAAAAAAGTTATTATGCGATAAGCATTGTCGCGTTTGAAATTATTCGTTCATTTATTATCTCATCATCGTAAGAATTATTTGTCTCCCAGACAACACGCGTGACGCGTGCTAAGATGTCTTAAAGATGTCTTTTAGACATGCGTGCTGTCTGGACTCGTCGCATATCTCTTACAACATTAATAAGATAATTAAATTATCAATATTTGTACTTAAATTTATGTACAGTGTAACATGTATGTACGTTTCTTGTTACATTATTACATGTACGCATATACGTACACACGTATTTTATTTAATTCCTTAGTCTCGGTCTTGCCTGCCATCCTGGATTTGCTACCTAACTGTAGCCTGGATTATTTGACACCTGTGTTGTCAAGGGTGTAGAACAACCCCGCAACTTTACGTCCTCGCGTGCCACGTTTCGGACGCGCCTAGAATTGCACAGATTGCACCCACGCTAGTTTCTATCCCTGACTGCCAAGTAATAACCCGTAGAACATTATGGTAGCAATTCGTGCCTCCCCGTCCGTCCGTGCACTATACGCGTATATGCATTCGTATATATTAAGTCCGCATTAGCCCTCTGCAGCTCCATACGTCGAACCATATATTCGAAATAATACATTTGTACACGAATATTTCGTTATTTTTAAAGAAGATTTATGTAAAATTAATCTGAATTAATCTACATTAACGTACTGGCTCTGAACGCCATGCGTTTCTGTGATATTTTATTAAACGAAGAGAACTCATTTTCATGCTAACATCATATTTCTAAGAAATGGAGATTATATTATACATATATGCTCATAATTTATTAAACATTAAGCCCTGCGCACAATAAAGCACATTTTAAGAATAAAAATAAATATTAAATATTAGGATATATAAATACAGAAATATTCCTGTAATAAATATTATATGTAAATGTAAAGAATATTCTCCTATATTTATATCTTATATTTTATTCTTTTTTATTATCCGTTACGTTTAATTATTATTTCTAATTCCGATTCCTATAAATATTTAATATTTATTCTTGTTTCTAATATGTGTTTTATTGTGCGCAGGGCATTATCACACACAAAACTTTCTTTAGACATAATCTTCACTTTTTAAAGAGAAACATGAATTTGGAACGATTCGAGAACAAGTTGTTCAAGCGTAGTAGTTCCTCCATGAAAGAGACAAATACCCGAAATCAGTAATAAATATTCAAGATTCGAGCTATTTCGATTAGCAGCAGCGGGCTAATTCGGATGGAAATTTGCGAGCTACCAAGGGTTAAGATCCTAAGATGGAAATTGTGCAGGGGGAGCAGCTGTTTCTCAAACCCGATCGCTTAGCGACATTGAAGCCTCATTACAAGAGCGAGAAGCTGCCGCAATACACGACGTTCAAGCCGAGCAACTGAAGATTTTACTGACGTTTATTTTGTATCGATATACATAGAAAACGAGGAAAAAACGAGGCGGAGAGTAAAAAAAGCGAACGGGGGAACGACGCAGAGTGTGGCACGAAATCAAACGCAAAACTGCAGCTCTATATAGTTTTATCAGCCTCTCTTATCACGAGCATGGAATATATTTAGGAGAACCGCGTATACATATGTGCATGTAACAATTGCGAACTATTCTATGCGAATCCGTCGTGGCGTTCGATCGAAAAGACGCAACAGCGACACGAGTCTCTCGCTAAAATATACTGCCATATTCGATGACAATTTTCTCGGAAGTATAAAGACGATCGATACGATCCCCAAAACCAATCAAAACGAGAACTATGCATATTTATAACGTTTACGATGATATTGTTAATAAAACAATGATTTTCATCAGCCGCTATTTTTATTGACACCTTTAGAGTAAGCAAAGTGTGAGTGGTGAGCTGCGAAATATTCGATACTCTTACGATGCGGCAAAATTCGATTGTCTGTCAGTAATACATATATTCAACATTATTGACGTGAATAAATTTATAATACCACCTAGATCCTAAATCCATTCCGAGGAAATTAAGAATTCCTTTACGCGATTATAAATATAGATTTATAATTATTATATTAGTAGCTTATCAATTCCTTGTACTGTAAGTATATTCCACAATCCTGCGTCTTACTATCCAATTTCTATATTTTACTATCGTTTTTCTCACTTGGTTATTTATGTTATTTCAGAATTTGCACACGAAATATTACACTCTAAAGAGTCTAAAGATTCGAAATTTATGCCATATTATAAAGTAATACGATTCTTTTATAAAATTACGCTTTAGTTCCTGCGAAACGTTAACACCTTTTCATTTCATAAGGGGATGCTGGAGCCGTAGCCGAACTCGATCAGCGTCGATAAAGAAGTGCTCACCGACTATATCTGTCCTTGTATAGACAAAGATATAGACAAGGATAGCACGCTACATTGCACGCACACATACGAACGATGCACGTCGACATTATACTTTTATATTACGCTTCCAAATCTTGATTTGGAGGGTTTATCGATGTTTTTCTTGTTGTGCAATTCGGGGGAACTTGTTTTCGCGTTCGTACCAATGGTATATCTCTTATATGAAATACATCTTGTGACGAGCTGACAGCTCGCCGCAACTCGAGACGCCATATTGGGATAAAAGTAGGATAAGGAAATCTGTACTTCGTAATTTTTTCTCGTTTTCTATATAAAATCGGAGTTTCCCCGAATCATTAATGTATGTACTGCAATTCTGGAGAAGGATTTTTAATTCTGTCAAATTAATACGACGCTACGTGCCGACAAAAAATGCCGGTAAAACAGACGGCTCCAGCATCCCCTTAAGGTTGTTTATTAACACGATGTTATGGAACCTATAGTCATCGTTGTATTAAGTTAATATATGAAATATGTCGGATATTTTAATGTGAATAATTAAAACATATTTTTTTAAAGAAGATAGTTTATTTAATCAAAAGAAGCTCTATTGGCATCAATATATTTCTTTCGACGATTTTGCAATGAATAAATGCCATTTTTAAAAAAATCTATATTTTTAAAATTTATTTTTTTTTTAATCCGTAGATTGTTTTACAGCTCTCTCTCTCTCTCTCTCTCTCTCTCTCTATCTCTCTTTCTCTCTCTCGACATTATTTTAATTTTTTAAACTTTGTTTTTCGGAAAATGCTGCAAATGTGAAAATATGGCCTGTAGGCAACAAATCCAGTAAATAAGAAGGATGTGGTAGGATTTCATAATTCAATTCAGCTTTGTTATTGTTGTTCAAAATGTACAATATTGTTGTTATTTTACGCTATTAATCCCTAACGGTTAATGCGCAATGCTGGACGCTGCATTTTCATTTATACATATATATATATATATATTCTTCTAACGAGTTCTCTTGTCATTAATTGGCTAGAATGTTGTTTTGTTAAAGCTTTTATAGATATTGAATACCATTTCGCAAAGAAAAAATTTTCAGAATAGAATTTTTAAACCACGCAACGTTTTACTGTTCTTTTATTAATAATGTTTTCTCTAAAAGCTCTGTTTTTTGCGAGTAGCATTATTTTCTAATTTGAATTTACATAAGAAAATTATACGAATTTCATTAAAATTCATGCTTATTTTGAACTTTAAACAAAACAATAAAAACTCGTTTTTTAAAAAAGCTTAATGAGCACAATAATTACAATAATAAGCGTAAACGATATAATGATAAGCGATTAAATTGTATTATAAACCTACTAATATGACTAAAATACTGATATCAATTAATATTTTCAAATTAGCGAAAATCCGACGTTTCATATGCATCAATAACCTAACAGAAAGGTAGTAGTAAAAATTCCATCATTTTATATCTTTATTTTAAACCTCATTGCCTTTATATATGAAATGAAAGGATGAAATATATATATTTGCAATTCATTCCCACTTACTTTGTCTACCATCCCGTCGTTGAATCACGTCCAGTTACACGTCGCAGAGTTTATTAATCGATTAATAGAAGAGAAGATCGAGATCCGAGTACAAGATCTAGGTTTCTACCACGAGATTGCAGCTAGATTTCGCGGAACGATGAGAAAGATGCGGGACGAAACTTCGCGATTACCCGATGTTAATCCTGAACAAAAGATAAGCCGCGTTAAAAAATTATAATAAATAGATAAAAATAAATATCAAAAGAAAATACCGAGGAATTATAAGAAGAGCTCGTTAATCTGTTTTCTGTTCAAAAAATTTATTTATTTCCATAGTCCGAGACTCACGAACGAACGAGGGATACGGTCGATATGACAATAGATTTGTTCTTTGTAGCTGAACCTGCTGAACTGGCGACACTAGCTAAGAGTTATCTTTTTCCTTCCAATGTAGAGTAAAAAAGATAAACTCTGAACTAGAGTGCGGTCAGTTCAACTATATACAGAGAACAAATCTAATGTAACGTTGTATCGCAATTATCGCTTACAAATTACTCAGCCAGAAATAATTAGTTATTGTATCGATGTTGAATTGACGTCGATAAATATAGTTGATGTCGAATATTGATTGAAAAATATGTTTTTGTGATTTCTCATCTTCAATATCGTCATAATTGTCTTTACATAATAACGTAGGTACATAATATAAATATATACAATGTTAATTGAGAAATTGTGAATATTTTTGTAAAATTTCTATTTCGGCTAACACTACATTGGATCAATGCAAAATCGAAAAGCACAATTTATATACACATACACTACCGTTCAAAAGTTTATGGAAGCATATATATGCTTCTTAAGAAATACGACAGTGGTGCTAATAAAATTCCTTAAATGAAATTTTTCCTTGGAAAATGATTAGAAACAATAAATAATCTTTGTTCAATAGTTAAAACACACAGTAACGTTTCTCTACACCCCAAGTAGCGAAGTGACGTTAGAAGACGACATAATGACGTCTATGTGCGATCGCAACTTGTCGTATATCGCGTAAGAGCCAAAGCACATAACATGGCGTAGCGATATACGACGGTCGTAGTCCCCGACCTGACAGATCAGGATACGCCAAAGCTTGTGCGTTACTTACGTCCACGACTACGACTGTCATATGTGCTTTGGCCCTAAAGCCGTAAAAGATCCTCGATGCGTGGTCTCGCTTCGCCGCGTACACACATGGCGCGAAACACTTATATACCGTGTCTCTTGATAGTCTTGATATTCGACATTAAATTTGGGGTTAAAAGCTATAGAATATATAATCTAGCTTATAAAAACATTTGTAATTACTCAATTAACAAAAACAATTATAAAGGCCTATACATATGTAGTTTACACCGATCACTTGATACGCGTACTAGTAAATTAGTTTGATTATTGGCTGATTAGTTCAAATATACCATATTTGATACGTATATCAAGAGATCGGTGTAAACTAGGCTAAATATTATAATAAGATTATAAAGACAAAAATATCAACTATTCAACATCTATTCAATGACGAATTGACGCCGATTTAACTATAATCATTTCTGGCTGGGTATAATTTCATTTAATTTCGCGTCGCAAACTGCTTATCCGCTTTCCTGTATATACCTATCAGTGCAACGTGTCCTCGTCGCTGCACTGTCAGCAAAAATTTCCGCACGGCATGAAATCGTCCTGCAGTCCCGTTCGCGTGCAAAGATACACGATTTCAAGTGAGTCTCGAAAGTCAAACTCGCTAGTTCGCTTCACCATATTGGTATTAAAAATCGCAAGTGCATTATCGCGAGCTATCGAAGCTCAAGGGGTCGATCGACGCGCCCGACGCGCCGTCGAGCGCGCCATCTCGCGTTCGGGCCCTCATGTTCCGCTTCCGCGTGACGGAAGACGGAAGTGACGGAAGCGCCGTGTAGGCGTTATATAGCGTGTCCGTCAGCCCGTGGCGCTCGTGCCACTCGTGCGTGCCCGCGAATAAATTTTTGAGGTTAACGTTCGGTGGTTCGCGCACGAGCGAGCTCGCACGAACACCGAGAGCGTTCGCACGATACTTCGACCCAAGCACGCCGATGTAAAAGCTCGCAACGATCTCACAGTCATGGCAGTACGCGTACAATTCGAGAACAACAACGAGATCGGCGTCTTCTCCAAGTTGACGAACTCCTACTGTTTGGTCGCGATCGGCGGCTCCGAAAACTTTTACAGGTAAGCGTGACGTCACCCATAACGCAATCGCACGAAATCGGCACTGGCAGTCGACATTCTTTAATTAATTGATTAATTTCACTTATTAATTCAACAATAATACTCAACACGATAATATTGGAATACGAATATTTTTACATCATAATGTCAGAAATGTGTCGTGAAATAATTGCACATTATTAAGCAAGATAAAGTGGAATGATAAGCGTTGTACTTCAGTATATGAATATATATTATAATATAATATATGTTGATAAAAAGTATAAACGTTACTGTCATCTTTTAATGATCCTATATCATTTTGCTGTAATGCTATGATTCTATTTCATTGTTGACGTAATTGCAGTGTATTTGAGGCGGAATTAGCCGAGACAATCCCAGTTATTCATGTATCAGTAGCAGGATGTCGCATCATAGGTCGATTGTGCGTTGGCAAGTATATTAAAATGACTTTTAGGGACAAAGCACGGATACTGCTGTCAAGGACTTTCGAGCAGTCTTAAGTAACCGAATATTGACTAATGAAGTAGTAATGGGCCTATTTTCTATTGTAGAGTTTATCTTTTACTTTTCAATGTGGAGTAAAAAAGATATAAATTCAGAACTAGTGTTTAGCGATAGAAAACAGACCCATTTTATTATTGTACTGGATTACACTAGAACCTCTCCTCTCGCTTTCGTAAAATTTCAAACATACTTATCTCACTTGAAGTACAGAGAATGTACATTAGTAAGAGAAGTTTCTTAATGACTTATTGGTTTTTGAAGCTAAGTTGTCGACTCTAGTCTAGTGTTCTGCACCAGACCCATTCTGCTTTCGCCCTCCTTTCCTTCAGACTCCTAGGTTTAAAAAATATAAGCCTCAGAATTTGTATCTTTTATGAGATGTGTATAAGATATGTCGAGAACTCGAACTTAGGACTATCAGTTAGCCACTTTCACAATGAGTCACTCTTTATCTTTAGCATATGTAATGTGAACTATAAATTTTTGATATTATTATTTTGGAACGCGTCAATCGTATGGGATAAAAACAAATCAAAACATGCAATTGGATAATAAATAGGAATTTGTTGAAAATTTTTAAACTTTTTTTTAGTTATTTTTATCTACTTATTATCTAACATTTACATTTATATAAAAATAATTGATTATATATTATCTAATAAATAATAAATAAATAACAACTAAAATAGTATAAAGATCTTTAAGAAATTTCTTGTGTAGTCAAGTACACAGAAACTTTTTAGCCTCTTTAATAGCTTGTGCTCATTTCTTCCCAAGTTGGAAGAAAAATCAATATCATAAAAAAAATTAAACATTTTTTGAAAGTATCAAAATTTTCTTATCTATAGATATATGAAGGATACAGGGGGAAAATGATCATAGTTGACGCGCTCATGGAGAAGAACCATCAGAGTCTAACATACAATGTAAACGCTAAGTAAATATTATTATTTCGATATTCTTACTGCCTTCTAGAAACTTAAAGTTGCGTTTTTCTCGAAATTACTCCGGATGGGCATTGATCATTTTTCCTATGTATCTTTCTAATATAACATAATTGTATATTGCTCATAAGTATTTATCTTTGCAATATAGCGAACAAGAATGGATTGTTAGTACCAAATACGACAACAGATACAGAATTGCAACACATTCGAAATTCCTTACCAGATAATGTGAAAGTGCAGAGAGTGGAGGAAAGGCTCTCTGCTCTCGGCAATGTAATAGCATGTAATGATTACGTCGCTGTAGTTCATCCAGATCTGGATAAGGTAATATTTTTTATGTATTTTCTGTTATATTGGACTGTTTGTAACTGAAATACGCTGCTTTAACTCAAACTTTTGTATCTTTGATTAAAGGAAACTGAAGAAATTTTAGCTGATACTCTGAATGTGGAAGTATTTAGACAAACCATCGCAAGTAATGTTCTCGTCGGTTCATATTCCATTTTATCTAATCAAGGAGGTTTGGTGCATCCAAACATGCCTATTCAGGAGCAAGACGAGTTGTCCTCTCTTCTGCAAGTGCCACTTGCGGTAAGACAAACAATAAAACGATAAAACAACATTTTCTATGTAGTTATATAAGTGGTAATTGTATTCTTCTAGACTGGAACGGTGAATAGAGGCAGTAATGTGATTGCTGCCGGTATGGTTGTAAATGACTGGGCTGCTTTTTGCGGCATGGACACAACCTCGACAGAAATCGCACGTATCGAGAGCGTTTTCAAGCTTAACGAAGCCAATCCAACTTCTATTACATCGAGTATGCGCGCACCTTTTATAGAAAGGTAAAACTAAAAAAAGAAAAAAAAACACGTAGCGTATGATTATATTAACAATTTCTCGTATAACAAGAATTCTCATCTCATTTTAGTATGTCGGACTTATAAAACAGGACTTCTTCAAAATATCGGAGAAAAAGTATGTTGGACTATACATTACATATATGTACATAAAACTCGATATTTATGGCTTTATATATCAGCACAAAATTATTCTTTCGTCAACATATCTACGACAACTCTTCTTCGTGATTCCAACATAAGATAATGTGTGTGCTAAGATACTCTATATTAAAATTTGTACGAAATATAGTGTTCGTTTATTCAGACATTTGACTAATAGGGTAATAGAATACCGTTGTGTAAGATAAATTTGCAGTTAGTGACTACATGCATTGCGGCATTCTTTTTTTTTTAAACGAATGAATATGAATAAAGGAGAAAAATTAAGCAATGGAAAATCAAAGTACTATATTACTTATATCTCGTATTCTCTTCATAGAAACAATATGTATAATGAACATATCAAAGTAAGCTTACTTTCGACTATACAAATATCTATAAAGAATATAATCTCTGTAGCTTGATAATCGATCGAATACAACTACGTATAAAACAGAAATATTCTATATTGAAATATATTTTAATCAATAATATTCTCTTTGAATACAAACGCGTTTTCTGTCAAAAATCTAAATTATTTCCATCCTGTTGGTTTACATAGTAAATGAACTACGAGTAAGAACATTGTACGGACTGGCCTGCTAATAAAATTTGTTGTAAACCAAGTGAGCCAGTCCGGTTTGTTAATTTTTGATCGATAAGACTAGAGCAGTGGTAGTTGTTCTGCGTGTAACAATTCGGTGGCTGCGGCGGAATCTGCACACATGACCAACGTAATGCCTGCTTGGTAAGATGCCGGAATGCGAATGTGAGTCGCTCCAATAGTCGTGCTATTAGGTTGTTGCCTTTGGCTCATTGATTCTCGTACCATATTTACAACTTGCCCTGTTATCACAAATGTTTCATTAAAATTATCGCAATGTATAAAAAGTGATGCATAAAAAAATTATGTATAACATACCAAGGACATTCAGTTTTCGCCACTTTTGATCCATTGTCGCAAGTGGCGTTAGATCTGTATTTGCATTCCAATGCGCTAGAACGTCTGCTTTTCGTATTAATAAAATACTGGGGCTAATTAATTGATGCCACAGAAGCTAAAATCATGTCACAAGAATAAAATTCCGGTCAAACTAATTTTGCGACGGTTGCTACTTGGACTGATGATAAATTTACGTAATTTATGCATTATTCGATCATACGAACCTGTTCAGGCAAACATTCTAAGGGATTTGTTAAATATATACCAGCCTGTCCTACACCGAATATCATTTGATGATGCCATGCGTCCGGTATATCGCAACCTTCACCGCAATGTTGTAAATTCATTGTTGCGATTGGTGCAGCACCTGAAATGTAGAAATACGATATTTTGTACTTGCATCTTTTGACTTTCGTTACATGCTTCGATAATGTATATTTTAAATTTTAAATCATAGTATTATACAGATAACTGTACGTTTAAAGAATAACATATTCTTTAATCTCACCCTTGGAAATCCAATAATGTAACCAATGGGACAATGACACTTTTCTCTCTGGATAAAATGCAAAAAATTTTGTTACAGCTGCGCCATTCGTGGATAAAGATATCCCTCGTGCTATATCTTTATGAGTTGCCCCTGCCACTGAACGACTGACGAGATACCTCGGTAGCGGTACACCCAGCTCCCTTAATCTCGTATTTACACCTTTCACTAATACTTCCAGGGAAAATGATATATTTAAGGCCAACTAAAAACGATAATTTATATGAGACTCGACCAAATTATAGTACAAATTTGCAAATTTTCTAATTTTTATATATTTGTATGCTTTGCTATTACCAGAGCATTAATTGCGGATGTAGCACCACAAGCAGAGGTACCAATTTGCGTAACTTGCTTTATCGTAGCTTCCTGTTCACTCCACAGCATTACCTTCTCCACTGGTGGTAATCCGTCTAATCGTTCGTTACACAATTCACTTTCCTATTCGAATAATGCGTTTAAAAATTAATAAAACATGGTTCGCTCAATCCTTAAATCTATTTAATAGTAAATATATTAACCAGATTGGAATCACCACTTTGATTAAACGCAGCATGCTTATTGAGCATTAGTTTCTTAGCCATTATTCGATGATAAAGCGTAGAAATGAGATTAACCTTCCTGGCATTCAAATTGGAATTGTCCGGGAGAGACGCTGTCGTGGACTCGGCCCATAATTCGGAATCCGAATCTCTGTTATCACTGGGCGATATAAGGTCACCACTCGTGTTATGATAACCGTAAGATTCGCGTACCGGGCAACCTGTATTACGATATAGTGTCGCGCTGTCCCATCTTCCTGTAAATTTCACATAACATGGAATATCTTGTAGTACAATAATATGGCTACAACTTGCATCGCTAAGATAGCCGTAGCTGTGAGATTACCAGTTCCAGCGCTAGTACTAGGCATCCATGGAGCTGAATAAGTTGGCTTTGCACTTTGTTCTACTGTACATTGATTACTTGTGCATTGTTGGAAAGTAGTATGATTAACATGTTGTGCAATTTGTTTCGAAGTCTGCGGCATCGCTACCAATCCCTGTCTAGACACAACTTTTCCGCTACTCAGATCATTTAGCACTGGGTCTTGTTCTATATTATCTAACGCTATATTCTGTATATCTTCGTTTATAGAGGCCAAATCACTGTCTCCAGTATCCTGCGAGGGAGGAAGAAGCATTATAATCCGACTCGATCTCATACAGCATCTCGTACAGCGAATATCTTACCAGTTCGCAGGAAGGCCCGGGATCAAAGTCCATCTCTAGAAAATCCATTTCTGGACTCGACCTACCACTATGGTTCTGTCTCTCCGCTTCCTGATTCGCCGCATGGTCCTGATTCAATTCTTCTTGTTGATCTAAGTGGATCACATCGTCATTTCCTTTATAAGTATAGATACAATAATCTTCTCCATCAGACATATCTCCTTCGTTTCCAGAGCTAGAATCCATCCGTTCTACCTGTTCTCTCTGCAAAGTCTAAAAGTAAGAAAACTCTAAATTCTGTGAACAAAAATATAAACACTCGACTACACGAGCCAGTATATAAAAAAACCTACGTTCTGCAGTCCACTGGGACCAGCGGCTTCTCTGATGCCGTTGATATTAGGTCTTAAAAAACAACAAGTCCCTTGACTCGTCGAACCTATACTACCGCCTATATTATTCAGTACACGTTTAGATCCGTAGGACTTTGATGTCCATGAACAATCAGCCTCCGGACTAGAATCTGAACTGCAAGAAACCTTAGAAGGGCATTTCTCTATGGCAGATGCGTAATCCACATTATTTTTCATGTCCACGTCGTCATTGGATTTAATCGTTGATAAATTAGGAGGCATTACTGATACGTTTAACATAGGTACACTCGAATGTAAGGTAGCACTGGTAGCTGCGGCGGAATTAAGAACGGCCGATCCCAAGTTATGATTGTGGTGTATATTCGCCTGAGTGGAAGATAGATTCAAGTGCATCTGGGACTTAGGCAGATTCAACGAGCTCGCATTCGTGACAGTCTTATGCTTCAATTGACAATTAACGGTATTGGTGTTTACAGTCTGAGGCTTGATATTGGCGGTCGCGTTTGCAAACATGGAAGATATGTTTACATCTTGAGAAACGTTCTGCTCCAAAGAGTTGGAGCAATCGGACACGGGGGTTTGCACGGACTTCGTTCCATTGGCGAGCACGACTGGGGCTCTGGACGATAGCGGCAGCGCGAGCCTGACGTTGCCCTCGCCACTGTTGTTGTTCAGCCTCAACTGCTCCTCGCTCCCGTTCTCCAGCTGCACCTTGGACGTTACGGTACCTTGGTCCACGGATTGATTGTCATTCTTCAGGCTGACATCCACTCTGACCTCCGCTCTGCCCTGACCTCCGCTGCCATCGTTCCCCTCCGAATTCATATTGTCCTCGACGATGAGACCGGCGGCGACGGTGTCACACGACATCCTACAAAGGCATACACATACACACATACATACACGACAGAAGGGCACCTTCGGGATACATTTTTTTTTCCCCCGGCCAGGGAAAACAAAAACCTTACTCTCTTCTTGATCGCTCTTACCATGTGGCGCGACGGGAGATCACCCGCCGGAGGTCGGCTGACGGCACGGGAAACTCAAACTTCGAACTTGTGGAATGATGCGATTCCGTTGCGTGGTTAGACGAGGATCCACATAGCGCACCGTTCCGGCCGGAACTGCAGGGCTGCGTAGCTGCGTAGAGAAAAGAGCCCGCGACTCGCGCGAGTCCTGCGGAAAAGGAGACACCGCCTCGCGCGAGAGAAAGAAGAAAATCAAAGAACGCTTCTCCGTGTCAGGCGAAACTGCCGAAACACCTCGCTAACATCCCAACATCTCGCGGTGGTACCGGAAGTCAGCTGATTGTCGGAAACGAGTGTGCACTAGTATGCCGCATCGTTCAACACTTCACACTTCACACGCTGCTTTTCGCTCTTTTCTTTAAACGTCGCCCTCGCGTCTTTTTTTTTTACCTACTTGTTGACGCAACTGCCTCGAGAAGACGATCGCTCATATTCGCAAATATTCCGAGTTCCGAGTCGTCGATCATAGAAACTACCGCCGATCACATCGGAATGCAAATCGCGCGACGCAGCATGCATTTGTACACTCGGAATCGTTAATATACTCTCCGGCATTCCGGTTTTTATCCCCGATAGGAAAAGACAGGAAAAGATTTCTATTTTCTAGTAGATCTTTATGCAAATATTAATTGATAAATATTTGCACAATTTATTTCTAAATAAGGTAAAACTGAAGGAGAGCTCCCTCCTCACCGATTTCGATGAAATTAGGCTTAATCGATTCGTTTTTGCACAAAACGAATGAATCTGGCAGAAAAAAGCCCCGCTCGGTCCCGCGACGCGAGATATTAACTGTTAAAGTTGACGACTATCAGGTTATGAGACCTGTCATACCGACGCGATGTAGCGACTGGTAGCGACCACGAACATGCCCTGCGGCCACATGCGCATGCTCCGTAGCCGCACGCGCATGCAAAGAAGGTCACGTGACAACTGTCTGTTTGGTAAGTACATATTTACGTGTACTTTTCACATACCAACTATTCTCTGCTTTAACAAATTATTTATGTTTTGTTAACTTAAACGCTTAATAACTGTAACAGAAATAATTTGTTAAAGCAGAGAATAGTTGGTATATGAAAAGTACATGTAAATATGAACTTTTCATATACCAACTATTCTCTGCTTTAACAAATTATTTATGTTTCGTTAACTTAAACGCTTAATATTTGTAACAAAAATAATTTGTTAAAGCAGAGAATAGTTGGTATATGAAAAGTACATGTAAATATGAACTTTTCATATACCAACTATTCTCTGCTTTAACAATTTTATTTCTGATTCGTTAACTTCAACACTTAATATCTGTAACGTAAATAATTTGTTAAAGCAGATATTAAGCGTTGAAGTTAACGAAACAGAAATAAAATTGTTAAAGCAGAGAATTGTTGGTATATGAAAAGTTCATATTTACATGTACTTTTCATATACCAACTATTCTCTGCTTTAACAAATTATTTCTCTGTGACCTTCTTTTGCATGCGCGTGCGGCTACGGAGCATGCGCATGTGGCCGCAGGGCATGTTCGTGGTCGCTACCAGTCGCTACATCGCGTCGTCGGTATGACAGGTCTTATAACCTGATAGTCGTCAACTTTAACAGTTAATATCTCGCGTCGCGGGGCCGAGCGGGGCTTTTTTCTGCCAGATTCATTCGTTTTGTGCAAAAACGAATCGATTAAGCCTAATTTCATCGAAATCGGTGAGGAGGGAGCTCTCCTTCAGTTTTACCCTAAATAATATTTTGTTCTTTGTTATTCAAGTAGCTGTCCTTTTATTTATTTTTTTTTTCAGGGGATGCTGGAGCCGTCTGTTTTACCGGCATTTTTTGTCGGCACGTAGCGTCGTATTAATTTGACAGAATTAAAAATCCTTCTCCAGAATTGCAGTACATACATTAATGATTCGGGGAAACTCTGATTTTATATAGAAAACGAGAAAAAATTACGGAAGTACAGATTTCCTTATCCTACTTTTATCCCAATATGGCGTCTCGAGTTGCGGCGAGCTGTCAGCTCGTCACAAGATGTATTTCATATAAGAGATATACCATTGGTACGAACGCGAAAACAAGTTCCCCCGAATTGCACAACAAGAAAAACATCGATAAACCCTCCAAATCAAGATTTGGAAGCGTAATATAAAAGTATAATGTCGACGTGCATCGTTCGTATGTGTGCGTGCAATGTAGCGTGCTATCCTTGTCTATATCTTTGTCTATACAAGGACAGATATAGTTCGCCGGTCTTCTTTACCGACGCCGATCGAGTTCGGCTACGGCTCCAGCATCCCCTTCAGAATTCAATTATGTCCTTCATTTTTATTACGGGAAATTCTTTTCTACTTCGACTCCAATATTTAGTTTTAGATAATCCATTCATATATGAAAATTTGAAAAATACCATCTAAAAGTATTCCTTTAATTACTAGGCTTAAATATATATATTTATTTAGACTAATATATAATTTGTTTTGTTTTTTTTTGTTAATTATATTAAAAATTTTAAATTGTTCATGTATGTTGTAGAGCTCTAGTTGTATGTATACATATACATACATACTAGATACATACGTTGGAAGATCGGCGCAGCGAATCTGATTGGCTGCTCCATGTTGTGCCTCCCATATTACACGCGGGTTTACGCACATTTTTATTTCGCGAAAGTAACGTACATTAATTATTAAAAAAAATATCGAAAGAAGATTGCGTTTGATCAATGAAGCAGGTGAGTATCCGTGGTATCCGTTATCGACGACTCATGACGCGTCCGAACGAGAAATATCTGAATCGAAGAGTATACTAATGTCGCCAGGTGTATGGTGTATAATACACTGTATATATACTCGGCGCGGGACGCTCGTGCGTGCTTCTCCTTCACGCGCACACGGCGCATATAAATTCGTCGGGGTTTTGCGAGTCGAGCACTCGGCTGCTGGTGAGAGGAATCCTCGCGCAGAATGAATGTCGTGCGGATCAACTCCAAGAACGTGATATTCCTCTTCATGGCCCTCCTATCAACCTCCGTCCAGGAGGCTCGCATGGATTACGGTGAGTGGCATTTGCAATCCTAACCATCGACATGAGGGCCGGGCGAGAAGAACTTTCCACGTGAAACCTTTTGTAAAAATCAGTATCGAGGTGATACTGTGGCTACGGTCAACGTGACGCTACAGATGCTTCGAAGCATTCCTCTTCTCTTTTCTTTCAATGAAGAACGCTCCAAAGCATTTGTAGCGTCACGTTGACCGTAGCCTGTATTTGTATTAATGCGGAAGCGCTGGAAGTGTTTGATTTGTTTTTTTTTTTTTTTTTTACATGCGCCTGTAACTTGACGGTCAATGTAATCCTTGCAGGCACCGCGACCAGTTATGCTCTGAAAGAAGCTAACGTAAACTCCACGCCAGCCTATAGCAGCAAGAAGGTGAGATTCCTTAAATCCAGATAGTAACTTAAAGTTATGATACTTATGAGTATAGAGTTATTGTTAAATTGCAGGAGGAAATTGCTGGTCTGTGTCCGAGTGGGATACCTTGCGTAGAGTTGAGTGGAGAATGCCTGAGGTGCAATTTAAATTACAGCTGCAAATATGGGGTGATGTATGAAGCAAACTGCTCCGTGATGGAGCACGTTGATTGTATAGTACGTAAAACTTGTGCGAAGAATTCGCAATTCTTTAATTACGGCTTAAAGTTAAAGATTCTTTAATATATTGGTAATTTAATCAGATGTTTTGTTTCTTGATAGGGAGAACAGACTTTCTTGAAGAAATACATGTGCCGTTATTGTTATCAAACTGACCACTGGGAGCATCAGTGCCATCAGAAAAATTCCTGCAGCTCAGTAGCGTCTCCTCAGCAATATTATAGGTCTGTAACATTATCTCACGTATAGGATGGCTTATTTTAATTTATCCACTTAAATATCTCAAAACCCTTGATACTTTGTGGTCGTAACTTTAGAATGGCTTATACAAAAGGACACATAGCTAGTGTTTTGAAAAGGTTTTCAGATCAGCTATAAAATTATGCAATAGAAAAGAGTGGTTTTTATTCGTAAATTCTATGATCTGACTTTCAGAACACAATCTTACGATTAAACAAGATCACCATTATTTGGTCTCTTAAGAAACGAACAACTTTTGTCTAAAAAGTTTTTTTTTCTAAAACTTATGAGTTTTGAGATATTTGAGTAGATACGTCAAAATATATGATCCTGTATATGTATGCAGTACTGACCAAAAGTTTGGACCCGAATTAAATGCAAAAAGTTGAGATTAATTGACAAAATAAATGGTTATGGTAGTGTTTCTTTGACAAAAATTTATTGAAACACAAAATATACTTTGATCTTTATATCAATAAAAAAATCCCTTTTGCTTTCTACAATCTAATTTAGTTTATAAAACTAAAGCCTGTTTTCGTTTATGTAGCCTCTATATAGAAGCTTTTAAGTTTCAAGTATTTTAGCTGAAATACCCTTCCAAGCCAAGTATGGATTTGTAGTACCTCGAAAAAATGTTTTTTATTTTTGGGATTTACTTTTCTCATGCGTCGGTTCAATTCATCCTATAATAATTTAATGGGATTCAAAAGCAGTGATTGTGGAGGCATATTATTATGAATATTTCTGAGTTTTTCCACATATAAGTTTTTCTTAATATAACTTTAATGTTTAAAGCAATATCAATTATTTATTTTGTGAATTAATCTCTTTTCTTTTACTTTTGATGCGTCTAAACTCTTGGCATCTAAACTCTCAGTGTATGATGATTTTATATTTATGTATATGTATATTGTAAAAAATATAATACTGACATTCCAATATTTTCATTGCAGAACAAATTGTACGGTAAACGGTGACATACTCTGTCTGGGCAGACGAAGGTTTATGAAAAATTTGCCCTGTAACTGGACAGTTGGATATCGTTGGTCTACGGCTTTGATCTTGAGCATCACTCTTGGAGGATTTGGTGCAGATAGGTACCTTATGATCTTGCAAGCGTACTACTTGAAATATAGACAATCGATTAAATATGGATTTCACATAAAATTTTTAAATCGATTGTAGGTTTTACTTGGGACATTGGCAAGAAGGTATCGGCAAGCTTTTCAGTTTTGGCGGACTGGGTGTGTGGACTTTAATCGACGTGATATTAATCTCTATGAGATATTTAGGCCCCGCTGATGGCTCTTTGTATATTTAGATTATTTATGGATATTGTAATTATCAGTATCAGAGATCTAAGTCTTATTTCATCATAATTTATCATAGTCCTTGTAGGGAAATGTTATATTTGTTGAACTAGGTACAAATTAATGTGATATATGTAAATATATAAATATAAATAAGTTTTTATTAAATAAAACAGGCAACTGATCACGGATATATGATTTTATCAACAAAGCAAAGAACAATCTATTCTAAGTTAAGCTTCCTAAAAAAAAATACTTAAATAATCTAAATTTCACATTATTAGAAAATTATTAAGGACTATTGTCTTAGCGATTTTAATCGTTGGTATGATAATTTATAAAAATTTATATTCTAAAATAATAAGTATTTATTGCAAACAAATCAAATCTCTTAGTCAGCAGATATTATACCAATGACAAAATATAATACTTTTGTCTCGTATTTAGTAAACTGATGTATGCAAGAGGAAAGAAATTTTGAATCTAGAAATTGTGAGTGTGAATTTAAATTATATAATTAAATTTACAATTTTATTTAATTTAATGAATAACAATAATTATTGATGATTAAGTTATTTCGCTAAAGTGGTGTGGACCATTATAATATAAAGGAATATTCGCAATTTAAATTATGAGAAATCTATTTTTATATAGTCATCATGTGAACAATAATAATGTTGTGTATCGTGACCATGAGCATAGCTATTGTTAGCAAGGTCAGCTACGAAGGTTTACAAACTGTTTAGCATGGTCCCGAAAACATACCGGCATATAAGGCTATATACAAGGTGAGGAAAAAGTCTAGAACCGGTGAAATATCTTGAAAACAAGACATTTTAGGAAAAAATGTTTTATACATAAGTTGTAGGGTTTCAACAAATGCATCAAACGGTGGTATTTATTTGACCTTGAGCGTAAGTATGGTGGAGCTTTCAAGGTCAACTTTAAAATTTTAAATAAATGTTCGTAAAGTTTTTTATAAATAAAGGACGCAGATTTCGAAACGATCGCCCCGGCATTGATTGCACTTCAGCGCATGCGGCGCATTTTGCTTTTAGAATCATGACAAAGCGACACAAACCGCAGATGACATCGTCTGCCTAAATGAAAGGGCGGAAGGGCGGGGGCGATAGAAGAGGAAGGTACCCTTTTATTTTTATTGACGACAGGTATATCGCGTTTTCACATTGTGCAATGATCGCAACGTGTTCACGTCGCGCGATCGAGATAGAAACGCCGATTCTTCTTTCTTTCAACCAAACGAGGGGGAGAAGAATCCTCTCCCTTTGTATCGTGATATGAAAAGATGGAATATGAGATAAGCAAATTATTTAATATTCTTGTAGCTGATATCGAGAGCTTTTCAAAATACTATCAATAAACTTCTTTCGGTTGAGTACTTTTCGAGATATGTTGACAAAGTTCAAGCACCGCCGGTATTCGGTATTAGCATTAGCCAAGGTGTGGAGGTTGCACGGTCGGATTTATATCTCATTGTGTGTGTGTGTGTGTGTGTGTGTGTGTGTGTGTGTGTGTGTGTGTGTGTGTGTGTGTGTGTGTGTGTTATATCACATATCAACGGTTATTAAACTACAAAAGTTTGAAAGAGAAAAAACCCCAGAGCGTGGAGTTCAGCTGCTTATCGCCAGAGATGCCGACGCTTGCTAGCGTATCCGGCGTATCCCTATCAACGCACTATCAACAGCGTATTGCCGGCGTTTGGTAGCGTGAGTTTAGGGGGCTTTTTAAAAGATCATGTTTATAAAACCACAGATTAGAATAACTGATGAAATGAGTTTAATAACCGTTAATATGTTGACATAAGACACACACACACGCACGCACGTACACACGCACACGCACACGCGCGCGCGCGCGCACACACACACACACACAC